TTAATCAATATTAGTGACTGTTTCACAATTGTTTCCCATAACTCTTATTCAAGGTTGGTTGTTAAAGGTGATGGAAGCACTCTTCGGGGATTAAATCACATACAGCCTAAACTGTGTGTACAAAAATCAATAGACTTCAATCTTCGCCTACCCTGGACTACATGACCTATCTTAATATGATTGGTCATTAGTATGTACTTTTGTGTTTTTTATTTAACTGAGTAATTTTCATGAACTTTATTTTATCATTGTTAACCATGTTAGCAGTTGTAAAGAAACTACGAATTGAAAGGAATTGAAAGAGGCAGCTACTTGGGGTTCATTTTACCTGTCCTTCTTAGCTTCATTAGAACTGTGAAGCAAAAAAATGTACATGAACTGTCGATTACACTTCAGACACACACACACAGACACACAAAAGAACAATGAAATTCATGTAATGAATAGTAAAGAGGAGGCTTTCCTTCCGTGACTGGATATGGTGTCTCTCTCCATTCGTATAACAAAATAAACATTTCAAAAGAAAAATCGATCAATCGTCTGCCTTCTCTTCTTTTATTGTCTTTATCCTCCTTCATTTGTGAAGTACTTTTATGAAGAGTTTTCAGTCTGCTTTCAGGGATTCCCATCTGATTGGATAACATCAGTTGTCTGTCTGCTTTTTCGTGTATTTAACTACCTCAATATAATTAACATAGTATATTCAGATTCCCTTTATTATAGTTTTATATAAACTTTGTTTTCGATTGCGACTATTAGTTGAATTATGAACACACATTCTGCTTCATGTACAATAAAGCAATCGGATGTTTCAGCTTAAAGTCATTAATTATCATTATTATTATCATTGTCATATCTGGTTAATGAGTTTCAGCAACGACGAAGCATAGCTATTCATTTTATTCATGTAAAATGTTTGAATACCCTGAAGATAATCAAAACGCGCTTTTTTTGTCTACCGATGAGATGATTCTGACTGTTTGTAAACTGTGAATCATCATTTTTCATGTCACCGGTTTTCTATTTTTACATTTATTATTTTCATGACGAAATTAGTTTTGAAATGTTGATTGGTATTCATTATATAAAAGCATTTTATGAAACGAGTTTGTTTTTATGTCAATAAACATTGATTCATTAGACGTGAAGTCTCTTGTCGAAGAAAAAAGCGAAAGCAATATTGTTGATTTCGTATCGGTCTTGTGTCTACAACACAGAGAGTAAACTGCTGGTCTCTAGTGTTCTGGTTGTTTTCAAGTTTAAGATGGTTAGAGGCAATCGGTCACAGGAAGTCACCACATGATCTAGGTTTTGGGCTAGTTGGCACTGACAAGTAAAGCTAGGCATATCTTCAACCTTGAAGGAACCCATGTTCCTTCTGAGGTTCGAACCCGCATCAACCAGTGCCGCCTAAAATCAGAGACGTTATTGACTACTGTCTTATCAAAATTATCCAATACGGTTTTTCAGGAGATCAATGTCGAGCTTGAATAGCTCAGTGGTAACGTCTCTGACTGCAGGCGGAACTGGTTGATGCGCGTTCGAATCTCAGAAGGGACATAGATTCCTTCAAGGTTGCAGACACGCCTTGTTGATTGGTGAGCGCCAACTAGCATGAAACCTAGGTCGACAGCTTCCTGTACTGATTGCCTCCAACCACATGATACCGACAGTTCACAGTGCACCGTGGTGGTGAGCCAGCTAGCATGGTGATCACATTGCAAACTTCACTGACAGATTTCAGTCTGCGTCAAATATAGGACCAGACACATTACTCTGGTAGGTGAAAAGTGTCAATCAAAAATAGTTTCAAGTTTGGCCACATAGTGACTTCACTCAGGATGCTAATTCCTTTAGGTACATTCATCTAGTACGCACTTTGAGTCGTCGAAAACTGCCTCTATATTCATGCTATCTCGTTTCCATTATGTATGAAATCTCCGATCGTTTCTTAAGGCACTGTTGCATACAAAAGTTTAGGTTGAATCTGAGGCACTTGCAGTGAAGTTGTAACCTTCGCGGTTTGGGTTGACAGCGTTCCAGTCCCTAAATGAGTATCTGAAGCCTGCGCTGAACGACAGCAGCTGGCTTTATGTTTAACAAACATCAGCTGGCAGCATAGTGTCACATCCAGTGATGCCTGATCAGATAGCTTATGGATTACGATGAAATAACCGGCGCAAACTCCATGGATAAGTTACCTGTTACGAAAATTACTTTATTTACCTTAAAATCATGTATCAACCGGGTAAAAAGCAAACAGATAGGAACTTCACGATATAAAACCACAGTTTAAAGTGAAATTTGGTAATGTAAGCATCTATTATACACCCTGATCACTTGAGTTAGGTTCAAAGGATTATGTGACTTAGTTATTTGAGATATCTGCAAAGGAAACCTTAGTGAATATTTTTTTTACTTCCGATGATAAAATTGTTACAGTCACTACAAACGATGAACTAATGTTCACAGCGTTTGAATTACACGAAGTGTTCAAATTAACTCTTTACGATTTCATGCAATTTGAATGTTTTTGTTTTGAAACGAAGTTCCTATTTTCTTCATTTTTAAGGATACCTTTAATCTGCTTGTTTGATGTTAGCTAGCATGAGAATTCAGACTGTAAATTACCTCCTATTTAAGACTTATCAGCGAGTTGCGGCTGCACCTGCGATAAATTTAAGTATTCATACTGTGACTTGGACAGAGCACCCATCTTTTCATATGACAATACTCAAAAAGGAGGAAATGCACTCAGTCAGTTCTATTGTTAGTCATCAGCAAGCAAGTAACGATGAGGAATTATTCGTGAACTCTATATACTAGAATAAGTCTGTTCAATCTCAGCTCAGATATATCAACGATAAGACATAAATTTGCATGAACAGTTTCATTTAGAATAGTTCGATAATGTATTTAATCTTCATTGAGTAGCTTTCAGAGACAGGATATATGAATAGAACTTGTGCACACTGACAGAGTGTAATTCCATTATGGAAAAAATTTTATTTTAATGATATCACACAGTGTTATACAGTAATATATATATATATATACCAGTGGCTGAATGGTATACGAGCTCGCCTTGTAGTCTGAAGGTCCTGGGTTCGAATCCCAGTGGGTGCGTACTACCCTGCTGATTCTTATTGTGCGTCGGTGGCACAGTGGTTAGGACTCTCGCCGACCATTTACTTGGTCCGGGGTTCGAGCCCACGCCGACGCACACCTGATATCTATGGTCGGCCTGCGAATTTTGGGCTACCGATATCCACGCTGAAAATTCCACACTTGTACCAAAATACGGTGTGGAATCAAGCTGTAATCAAAATAAAATAAAATAAATAAATATTTACTGATGACTTTTCAAGCACAATTTATTGCTCATAATCATATTAAAGTACACCCACAATTTGAGTAATTTTATATGATTATGAATAATTAATTGTGCTCGAAACGTCCTCAACAAAAATATTATTGTATGACAGTAAAACTTTCAGATACAAATCTAAAATTAGGTAAAAACTTGGATGGACACGTAATCTAAAATTACTGAATGTTGAGCGATGGCTCAGTGATTTATTTCGCTATTATAAAGTTCCGATTTCTCTAGGAGAATTAGAGGGAAACTGCACAAGTGTTTCCACTCAATTTGAGAAGCCCCACCAAGGCTCAACCATGATATCATCATGGAAATAAAATCAGGGTCTCCACGTGACGAACAAATCACCCTTACGATTCAGTTATAGGATTAGAATACGGTGATTTACACTCTTCTGATATTCATCAGCTGATTCCTTAAATCATAAACGTTACATGGAAAATTGTAGTTGTTATAAATTCACTATATGCAATTATGCCTTGAACCGCTATGGAACAGGTTTAGTTTTTAGAAACGAAACAACCAGGCGGGTCAGTTTTCGTTGTCTGTGCTGAACGTTTTGGTGACTCTAGACAACTTTACTGATAGCAGTCTGTCTTGTTTCTGTAATAGGTTTTCGAAGTGTCTGCTCTATCAGTTTATCGGTACGCGATTCGCCCAACATGGTGATAATGGGTTTCGGGTAGTCAAGGTTCGATTCTGAAGAGGGACCTTGAGAAGTGACCACCACAAACAAGGACAAAGGCAGGTGCGAAAACTACCCACTAGTCAAATCAATCCGTGTGAGTCTAACTAGTCACCAGCGGGGTCTACAAAGTCAAGGAAGAGATCAATTAGTTGCCTACAACATTGATTGGTGATTGCGCAATACATACCACGAATTTGGTCACAGTTGCTTAACCGTCTACCAGGTCGCCTTGTAAATGGGAGGTCCTGGGTTCGAGCCTTCGTGGATGCTTAGTGTAGAAGAGTCTCGAACCAGGACGAAGCATCTGTCCGGTACTCCCAGGTTTTCCAGTGATTTTGTAGCTGATGTCAACTTATTACCAAGCGTATGACCAATCAAACCCCTAAAATCCAACAATTGATATTTGATTCAATTTTAGATTTTCCCGTCGATTGATTGGACCGAAGTTCTCCGTCTCAGGTTGACATGTCGGCTTCTTGTGCGGATGCTTCGACGATGTCTGAGCATTTAGTTAGTATTTAATTGATGAATAGCGACTAAGAGTGGATTCAAGGCAGGAAGCGTATTTCGTCCTATTTGGGACTGGTTAGCTGGATGTACCTGCATTTCTCAATGAGTGATGATGTTCCCACTGAGGCTTGAACCCAGTGTCCATAGTTTCAAACGCCAAAGCGATAACCACTAGACCACTTAGGCCACGAGATCTGAACACCTCTTGTACAACAGGTCATATTAATTTAATTGAAATAGGACGAAATGCGCATCCTGGATTCCACTGTTAGTCACCATCCACCAACAAGTGATATAATTCAAATATCTTGACACGAACCAGGTAAGTTTGGTAACAGCAGTTGTCGTTTGTAAAAAAATCAATATTGTAATCGATTCAAACACTTATACGCTAAGATATTTAAAAGTCATTTTATCACATACCTATCAAAAAGAATTCTGTCTTCATTCAATTGTCCTTTATCCACAACATTATTATTATTCATCTTTCTTTGCATAGGTGTTGAATTGTTGTCATGTGATATGCATTTATTATCATTCATTGGTTTACATTGACAATTGAACTGTGTTGAAACATTGAATGGTGTTCTGTTGACAAAATCATTTTTCCAATGTAAAAGTTTTTGTGTAATTTTGATGAGCTAAATAGAAACAAAAAGACAGTGAAGATTGTACATTGAATATTGTTACACAACAAAAAATTATTACATAATGATAAAAATGACAGAGAAAGGAATGCTCCTTGTGACTATTTTGAATTTACTCTTTCCTAGGCAGGATTGCTTGATGTCTTTACAAATACCGACTCCTGATACTAGGACTTCAACGATGTCTTGAAATTACCTTGATGCTGTTTTGATGGATGAGAAGTCCTGATTGGGATGAAACTCTCACCTTGAGTTCTCAATGAAAAAACATTACAAAGATGAGTTAAACAAAAATCGATTTCTTTTATTCCTGTATATTCTCAATGGAACGCAGGGCTTCAAGATAAAGATTGGAAGCCTCAATAGCAGTGATGTTTTATTTTTTACGGGATTGGGTTGTTGGCTCCATGGCCAACCTTTCCTCTCTACCGGTATTATTACTGGCTTAACTAGGTAAAGGAATGCGTCCACCGCGGATCGAATCCCGAACCACCAGCGTGGTCAGCGAGCATTCTACCGCTGTGCACCGACGCCAACCGAAAATCGATAACAGCAACTTATTTTGGCATTAGCAATAACAATAAATTCAAAAATTGTACAAAAATTATATGATAATAATAACGATATTAATAACTACAATTATAAGATAATTAAAATATTCTCACCATAAATTACAAATAGGTGAAAATGAAAGTGCCATTTATCTCGTTAATTACATAATAAGTTATAAGTTTCACGCCTAACACTTTCTCTATAACGTGGAATGTGGATCAGATGCGGCATAATCTTGTTTAATAAATTTTAGTCCCGCCTGATGAGATTCAAGGGGAGAGTTGTGTGAATCGAAAGGGTGTTGAGAGGGAAGCAACGTGGATTTAGACCATTTCTCACATGAGTTCAGCTGTTTGTCAACTACAGTAGTAACTAAATGACTAAGTGGCTGACCATTTGCCCTGCTGACAACTTTTGATGTCCTTCCTAATATGACATAATCTTTTCTAAGTTCTTTTCTAAAGAAAAGTAGGTTAGATAGAAGTGTTAACGAATTGTAAAAGTAGAGGTTGAGTGATTCCTGAGTGTCTTAACTTCTTAATGTAGAAGGTTAGAGGGAACATTTTCCTAAAAATCTACGAGATATGAGATGTTGAAGAAAGATTAGAGGAAAGAACTATTCCAAGGTACTTTATGCTTGACTTGGTTTCTATTTCAGTGCCCTCTACCCTACAACGAACAATTTTAGTGTAAATCACACAGACACTTCAAAGTGAAGTAAACTTTCTGACATTTGGAAGGATTCAACGCAAAACTACTTAACTTCGACCACTGGTTAGTGCCTAAAAGGAAGCTGTTCTGTTTGGAAGAGTTAAATCATCAGTATATTTAACCATTTGATTTCTTCCGAAAGGAACAAGTCATATAAGAAAAGAGAAAAGGGGAGAGAACAGGATATTGAGGGGCATTGGCCTCAGTTACCAAGGTAAAAGAAGATTTACCTTTATATACGGTATACTGCATTCTGCGTACTTCTGAAGAGTCACAAACTAGTCCCAGACGAAACAGCTGGCTGTCCAAGACTCACAGGTTTTCCAATGGTTCTCTAAATGATGTCAGCTCAAGATGAAATCCTTCAACCAATCAAACGAAATCCCTACAAAAACCAATACTTGAAAATTAATCTGATGCTGGTCCTATTCAGGCAGTTAACCTGGGGTTCTAACGGGAAAGCGTGACCAGTACGGTACAGCAGGGTGAAGGTGAGGCATTAACTCATCGTAGAAGACATTGCGAAATAGTCGCACTATGCCATGGATTGGCAGAAGTTAGAATTCATGCGACACTGGATCGGGTCTACGATCTAGCTTGCCACGTAACCGGGAGGTCCTGTGTTCGAACACTAATGGGTGTGTACCGATGTAAAGTCCCGAATCAGATCGAATTGGCCACTGTCCAGTACTTCCTACAAGTTTCACAATGGTTCCCTAACTGATGTCAGCTCATGATAATATCTTCTAGCCAATCAAATAAGAATGCGAGCACTTGTCAGGCTGGAACTTGGTTTGTATTTTAAAAAAGACATTAAAAGATATTAAAAAAAGATATATCAGGCACAGGAAGGTGCATCGGACAAATCTGCCCCCTTTATCTAAACAGGAAATAACACTATGATGTAGGAAAGTGGCATTTAAATCCAGAGTTCATCTTAACACGGAACCTGTATACGACCAATTTAAACGTTTCAAGAAAGGTTTAAGTTTGACTCAAAGTAAACAAAATTTCGTAACTGATATCTCCAGGATAAATAGAGTTTTCTTAATCTCCAACATTATCTGATTAATTGGTGTTATTCAAAATTATAAGCGTAGATTTTGTTTATGTGTTTATTATCGATAATAATAATCATAATCGTAATAATATTGAATTCTAAGTGTCTTGCATAATCCACATATGTGATTACAGAGTTGTTGTCAACGTTAGTGCTGTTATTGTCTCTTTCAAAACAGAGCCTATTTTACATAAAAAACTATAATTCCTTTGATTGCCTGATTTCTCATTCAATGACATGCAAAAACGACTAGGTCAATTCAGAAATACAAATAAATTAGTGAGAAAAGTATGCTAATTAGTTGCAGATATACATATATGCATGATAATTCAGTAATTATGATTGAATGTTATTCATATATATTCACTAGTGGCGTAGAAGCTATTTTCAATTGTAAATATAAATACAGGAATTTCAAGTCAGTGTTTGTAATCACTGAATAGGTATTGTGATGTGAATGGTTCTCTCATTTTTTTTGGCTATCTGGGTTGACTTCCCAGCCTCGTACACTGTACCCACATTCCACAGCTCCATTCTTATTTTTGCTTTCATTGAAAGAAGAAAACCAATTGGCTGACTGATTGCCGCCCCAAAGGCTTCCACTAGCCTGCGGCTTCATCTCATCTCTCTGGTTCCAGAGAAAAATAAGTTTGGTTTTTATATTTTTAAACTTTTTTTCGTGGTATGAACTTCCCGTAGCGATTTGATTGATTCTCCGGGGTAGAATCTCTCGCCCCACGACCAGTCTTCCCTCTCTCCTCTGGTTCTGAACCGGCTACAAAACTACCGATCGTGTAAAGTAGACAAGGTTCCATGTGAACAGTAGAGACTAATAAATTACGGAATACACTTATTAGCAGGTCAGGAGTAGTGAGATTATCAGAACATAAGAATTTAGCTAAGGTAAGAATGGTTGACCCCGAGAAGATAAGTAATTTAGCAAAAAACTCTGCAATCTCACTGCATGCACTAACACAGAACCACACAATAGGATGGGTGCGACAGAGTCAAAATTCTAAAATGTAATAGAGATAGGTGAGAGAGAGAGAGGTGGTTGATTATTGATTCCTACCGGGTTCATCGAGTCTACACTCAACACATGCAACAGAAATGACTGAATGCAAACACCAGAGATATCGAAGGCACTATCACCACCAATCATATCAGAGGAGGGTAATAAATAATGCTAAAATGTATTCAATTGAATTCACGTTAAAACATTCTAACAAGTTATTTATTCACTTTACTGTAAAAAACATCTTATTTCCCATCTTACTGTATTTGGTTGATAACGCTCATATTATTACTTCCGAATGTAAATTATTTTACATTCATTTTATTCAAATGTCCAATCATCAATTTTTACTCATGTATATAAATGAAGCAAGAAAGTTGTATGTGTAATGCCTTGATATGATAATGAGCGGTAATAATTTGTTCTCGAAATGTAGCCATCAGTAAAAATACTACTGTATAACACTACACTGTGTGATTTTATCAAAATAAAACTTTATCCACAATGGATTTACGTATATTAGATCATGGGAATGATTGAAAAGACGGTTGCAGCGAGAGGAAACTCTTCTTTTCAATGGAGATGTTGACTAAACTGTACGTGTAGTGTATTTACTGCATGTGGATGAGAAAGTTCCAGAAGTATTTCTGGTTAAGGATTAAATTAATAAAAATGGACATAGGGATTAAAATGTTATAATAACAAAATCGATCACCAACAAGAAACTATGGAAACAAACAAAACAAGAACCAGTCAATCACCAGCCAACAAATATGCAGGAGAAAGTGGAAATGGATTGGACACTCGCTGGGTGACATCGCACATTGGGTCATTGATCGAGTGGCACCCAAAAGGGAAGCGGCGAGTGGGGCGTCAGTGCAAGGGTGACATAGAGGAGATTATGTGAAGAGGAGTTGAAACAGTGTGGACTAAGATGGATGCAGTTGAAAATTACAGCAGAAGGAAGACAGAAGCAAGTGAAGACGTGCAGTTGAAGCCCTGTGTTCCACTAGGAACCCAAAGGAACATTAATATTAATAACAAAATCGACAAGAAGTTCGGATGAAAAACGTAGTAATGCAAACTCACTATCAATGTATTGCACAACCAACCACAAAGAGAAGCAATGCAATTAGAGATTGTAAAGGAAGAAAAACGTTTAAGCAGCGTCAAGTCAGTATATGATATGCAAATGTCAGAAGAATGATTGATGTACAGTGTGACGGAATAATTGTTGAGAAACTCCCTCCTTTACACATCACTTACAATAGTTTTACTTATTTGTACATTCCTACCATCAATGTTTTTGACATTTGAATGTCATATGTTGAATCGATCCTTATTCTTGGACAATCTTTCTCTTCAATATCTAATTTTACGGCTTCTCATTAAGGTTGACTTTTTTATCCTCTCTAATTTGTAATTCATGATGACACTATTTCAACTGTTTCGTAATTTTAAATAATATTATCATCATTTCACATTTTTTATCTTATCTAGGGAGCATTGTCTCAACTACAGGAGGAGCGGACGAGGATGTCAAATCGGACGAGAATCGGGAAGGCGAGAAACACATTCATCAACCTGAAACCAATCTGGAAATCTTCGTCACCCAGCACCAAAAACAAAATTTGGTCGGAGTTTCAATACAAACGT